TTTTTCAGATTTCACTGAAGATTGTAATGAGATTGTTTTACCACCTTAGCTACTTAGTATTTTGCTCCCATTAAAGAAAGAAAAGTAATTGCTTAACACCAAAACAAAAAAAACCAAACAAACAAACAAAAAGAAAACCTGTTGCACTGAGTCAATTCCAACTCATAGCGAGCGACCCTATAGGACAGAATAGAACTGCTCCATAGTTTTCCTAAGGAGCAGCTGGGAGATTCGAACTGCTGACCTTTTGGTTAGCTGCCAAGCTCTTAACCACGATGCTACCAGGGATAATCAGAAAAGAATATATATAATATTGAATAAGTACTTCCTAATGCCACTGCATGCTTTTGGCTGCGGATTAGGTTAGTCCAGAGTGGAATATGCAAAGCTGTTTTTTAGAAAGACTAAAAAGATTAATAGTCAGCACTCTTCTTGTTTATTTTGATTTGGATAATGCTTAAGGACTTCAATTAAGTACTCAATTAAGAGTTTCCCTGCTTTTATCACAGCCCATAAGAAATTCTAATGAGATTTAATAATGCCCTAGCCTTGAGCAAGCTGATAGGGAAACTAGGAGCAGTATTCAAAATATTTTGAGTCTCATTTGTCTTATGGTAGACTTTATCATCTATATTAATAAATGTATTCATGTTATTTAAAATTAAGGTTCATTTTTAACATTGTTACTGAATAAGGTCTGGAAATTATGGCTGAGGAATTTATTTAAGCATAACTGAAGAAACCATTCAAGGTGCATTTACGAGTGTTTCACAATATAGGTTGCTCCTATTCTTTAGCATGCTGACTGTTGAATAAAATTGGACTTTCTTTACTTGAATTTCATCCTTGGATACCTATGTAATTATTATTATTTTACTGGTATATTTACTTGGTGTGTGTTTGTGTGTGTGTGATGGTGATGGTAATGTGTGAGTGTATGGAAAAATCACAGAAATTGAGAGAGCTTTTGGCTCCACTTTATTTCTCAGTCCAAAGTTTACAAGTCTCAGAAGAATAAAGTTAAAAAAAAATGCATTTTATTGAAGAATCATACGAAATTCAATGTTATAGACAGAAATTTAAAGGTGGGTACTACAAGTGAAGTTTACTGTAACATACAGCCAACATTTCCTATGACTGTAGCTTTTCTTTGGGAAGACAGCATGATACATGAAAAGGGCACACCTCATGGGAGGGAGTCCTGTGCCTGGAGCTCAAACTGAAGCTCCCCGCAGGACCTGTAAGCCCACCCCGGTGGTCTCAACCCTGGCTGCACATAGCGTCATCTGGGAAGCTTTCAAAAATACTACTCTTTGGCTCCCTCCTCAGAGATTCTAATTTAATTGCTTGAGAACTGGGCCAGGGTTTGTTTGAAAACGTCTAGGAGGTTCTAATAAGCAGTCAATGTATGTTTGCCACATTAATAAGTATGCCAAAAGAATTGGCATACTCCTCATGAATGTGTGTCTTTAAAAAGGGATATGGACATACTAAATGCTGACTAAATATGGAAGCCTTAGTTTTACATATGTTAGTTTTGTCTGAGGGATCTAGGCAAGAAATTTAATCTCTTTGAGACTCAGTTTCCTCATCCCAAAAAAGAGCAGGGCCTGCTTTGGATGATTTCTAAAGGTTCTTTTAGTTCTAACACTCTAGATTATTTTTGTCCTGATGGACACTTGAACCTCTAAGAGTTAGCAAAGAAAAAGAATTTATTCCATTTTTTTTTTTTTCAGGAATGGGGCCTACCTAGTTATTCCATGTTAAATTCCTCCTTTCTTGGATCCTTTTGTATTTTTTCTCCCCCAACCCTTTTTTTTTTTTTTTTTGGAGGGTAGTTTTCAAGGTTGGATGCTTTTCCCCTCAGTGGGCTAGAGTAATCATGGGAATGATTACACTGAGTTGGTAACAAAAGAGGAAAGATAATAGTAGCTTATTTAAGTCCAAACTAAAATCCTTTTTGGAGCAAAGTGGATGATTAAAGAAAAGAAAATAAATATTAAACACTTTTCAGAACCTGGCTCACCTTTTTTTTTCCTAACTCAAACTTTCTAAAATTCTCTTCCCATGGGCTGAAATTACTCATGGCTTAATCTTCCCTCTCCTTCCATCTTTAATTTAATTTCATAATATGGTGTTACATCAAAACATTAAATTTGCACAAAAAGGCAGAAGGATGGAGAGAAGGGAATGGGAGACAAAAAGAGTAAAGAGCTAACTTGTCCCATATGCAGATTTAATACCCTCCTTTCTGTCTTCAGAGTTTAATAATAAAAATAGACACTAGTGCTGGAGTCAATAAAAACACTGTCTTGTATCTTTGCAAGGGTTTCACAATCAAGCAAGCCTGAGTTTAATTCCTGTTCCACCACTTACTACATAAGATTAGGTACAGGTTTTGAACACTGTAGACCTCAGTTTCCTCACCTAGAACATAAGAATGTTGTATAACAATCATAGTTGAGTGTAAAGTTTATCTAGGTTTTTTGAAACAGACTTATCTGGGTTCAAATTGAAGTTCTGCTGCTTCCTAGATGTATGATCATAAGCAGGTTTCTAAATCTGTGTGGGCTTCAATTTCCTCATCTGTAAAATGGGGATCATAATACATACTCAATGATGTTAGTGTAACTACTGTGTTAGGAAAGGTGACTGGCATTGTGGAAGACATAGTAAGCACTCAATAAATGGTACATTTTTTAATAGGGTCGTTGTAAGGATTACAGGAGCTAATGTATGTTTAGTGCTTGCCATACAAGAAACCAATATGGGTTCTTTTATCTCAGATACTTTTTTAGATGTAATCGTTGAAAACAAATGAAAAATCAAAAGCAACTGTGATTGTTCTAAGTAGTATTTATGTCTGGGAAACAAAATTACAAT